AATTGATTATTATTTCCCTTTCCAGAGGCATGGTGCCCTCTAGTCCCCGTTTCACATGGACACAGAATGAAACCTCGGTGATGGGGCTGCATTTAGCAGACAAACAGCACGTCTGGTTTATTGCTTATGCTGTTCAGGCTTTTAAAAGTCAGAAGTACTCGGGGCTCCCTGCTGATAAAAATATTCCGAGCTGCTGCTTGACTCCAGGGTGAACGTAACGCGAAACCTCCTCAAAGCTTAGAGCGCTCCCACCTCCTCCTGAACCGCTCCTTTGGCTGCACCGCCTGCCCCGGGGCTCGCACGGAGCAGTTCGTGAATTTCCTCCTTTTTCTGCCTTCCTGCTCTGATCTGCCCCCACCAAAACCACCGCGGCAGAGCGGGACAGGGATGAGCAGCAGGGTGTCACAAGACTCCAAGCATTTCTGTCGGTTTTAGCACCTGTAAAACCTGGGCAGAGAGTGGAAAGCTGCTGGGACTGCCTGAGGATGCGGCTCCTTTCTTTGTCCTTGGAGCCGGGGAGTGGAAGAGCAAACCCAGAGGCTCCGGGTTTGCTCAGCGTTCATGGCACAGGGGCAGCAGGAGCGATGGAAATTATCTGTGTGTGAAAAACACCAATCACTTGTTTTAGACATTTTTAAAGTTTGATAGTGATAAAATGGTTATAAAAACAGTAACACAATTAGAGTAATAACAATTTGGACAAATTGAATTAAGACAATATGAGACAATAAAAACAAAGAGTTACGGACGTCCGGGTACCTTTTCTGGGCATCACGAGCCTGAAATAGGACACAGGTTAACAAAGGATTAACCCTTAAGAACAACAGCCTGTTGTATATTCATACACTTCATACATGATGCATAAATTCCATTCAAACACAGGATTCTGTCTGGTCAGTGTCAACTTCTTCCTTCTAATCCTAATAGTGCCTTCGAGGCGGGCAAAAGTTCATTTTTTTTCTGATAAGAAGGCAATAAATTCCCTTTCTCTGAAAGATTCAGGTGTCCTGTGGCTGCTGTCTCGCTGCAAGCCCTTTCTGTTAAACAAAGCATCTTACATAGCATAGTGTCTATTTTAACAATTTTTATAACCTAAAACTATATTTAACACAGTACTTAACAAAATTAATACAGCATTACTTTCTAACACAACACAGATACTATTCTTTTTAATATTTGCAAAAAGCCAATCATAAAATACATGCATTTTTTCACACTGTATGTGAGCCATGGTAACATGGCAAAGACAGGAGAGCTCAGAGTAAATTTATCATAAAAAAAAAAACCAAAAAAAACAAAACCCCAAACAACAAACACAGGGAAGAAGGTCAGTGTGCATTTGCATATTTCAGTATTAATACAGAGGAAGATGAGATGTTTCTTCATGCTGTGGGCAGCTGAACCTTAGAACTCCGTGCCAGAAGTTGTGGATGGAGAAAGCTTTCCTGGCTTGAAAAGGAAATTAAGGCAGGACTTGAGAGAGTCCTGCTGAGGATTACCAAGTAGAAAAACCACATAAGGTTCACAGAATTCTCTGGGATGAAAGTTGTTGGAAGCTCTAGCTCATGTGGGAAATATCACTTATCCTTTCTTTGACATGTGCTTCTAGGTACTTTTGAAAACTACTTTCACATTCCATCTTAATCAGTATCCCTGTCCCTTTTTATATATTAACAAGAAACCATTCACATGAATATTAAAAAGCAGAATAATTATTCAATGATTCTTTCCAAATGAAGTGTAAAACAAACCCTATATCCTGAGCACATTTAAACAAGCCAAAATGACATTTCTTTAAAGGCATGGATGCTTTCAGTTCAGGGAGAGCAGTCAGACAAATAAACCTCCCACATGCTCATCAAATGCTCACAAGATTGAGGATTTAGATTACAAGTTATGACATGTTCTTCTGCAATAATATACAGTAAATAAAAGGATTTATCTCCTGCTACAGCATGAAATCAGTTGTTCTAGAGGTTAACCCAAATTCTTAGGAAATGGAAATTTAAGGCTTTATTTTCTCAGTTACTCCATCGTGGATGTTTTGGGAAGGAATGAAATTAGCATTATGATGTGATTTGGAGAGTGTCATTACTGTGTGAATGTAGAGCTTACAGTGTCTTACACTGATGTGCTGGTGACACAAAATGTTTAATGACATGTCTGGTGACATCCTGTCACCCTTCTGGCAGGGTGAGACAGAAATGTGGCTGCTGCAGAAGGTGCTGAGCTACCTGGTCCTGCCAGCCTCTGTCAGAGGGGTGTCCTGATCCACTGCTGTGGGTGGGACATCAAAACACCCAGAGAGTGACTGATACCTCCCCCAGCAGCTCTTCATGGAGGCTCTGGTTCCTGGGCAGGTGTCAAATGGAGCGTGCTGAGGTTTTCATCTTACACTCCTCTCCCTCTTTGCAATGGTTTGCGTTCACTGTTTGCATATCTAAGGTGCCAGAATCCCAGAATGGTTTGGGTTGGAATGGGACACTAAAGCTCATCCCATTCCACCCCTGCCATGGCAGGGACACCTTCCACTGTCCCAGGTTGCTCCAAACCCCGTCCAACCTGGCCTTGGACACTTCCAGGGATGCAGGAGCAGCCACAGCTTCTCTGGGAAAGCTGTTCCAGGGCCTCCCCACCCTCACAGCCAAGAATTCCCTTCCAATATCCCATCTAAACCCTCAGAGTCACAGCAGTGGTTCCACTCCACTACTCAGACACCCACAAGGTGCATCCACATAACCATAAATAAGCATTTGTGAAGGGCAGAAAGCCTGCCAGAGCTTTGTCTGTCAGACCAGGGTGTACCTTTCCTTTCAGGGAGAGCTGTGTGCTATCACTTGAGTAATTCACAATTATTTACCTTGGAAGCAGCACTGTGGCCTTTTAAACCCAGGATTAGTGTCCACCCCTCCTGCTCACTCAGGAAGCAGTGGTGAGGACATTTGAGCTCTCACAAGCCATCATGTCTATTTTAACACAACCACCAAATGCCAGCTTGCATTCATCCAGAGAGCTGTCAAGGGTTTTGCATGTCATCGTGTTCTCTTCTAGTTTAATTTAAAATTTTAGGGAAAGTTCCAGTATTTGACACGCTCTGTTCTTTCCCAGTCATGGCTAGGATCATTAAATCCTAAAAAAATCCCAAAGGCAAGCAATCTCATAAAGCAATCTTTTGTTCTGAGGTTGGCAGGATAATTCAAACAGGAGGTCAGTCAAAAAAATCACATTTTCCTGAGTGCCCTGGGGAGCTGAGTAGATGAGTGCCCTGCCTCTTTCTAACCCCCGTGCCATGGCAAGAAGTGAATTTGCATTTAATACAGCCTAGAAACCCATTCAGTGAAATAACTGCAAGGTATTTTCACAGCAAGGCCCTGCTCATGAGGGCTGGCACTTCCCCAGCTCCCTGAGGTTTTAGGGAATAATGCCTGAGTTTGTGTGACCCCCTTGGCTGAGCTGCCTGACCCTATATATGCCATTTCTAAAGTGTGCTGACCCCACTCCATGGCACCCTGAGGAAGGAAACGTTCAAATATATTCATATTTTATTTGTATAAACCATGCTGTCATTTCAGAATGTTCCCTGGATTTGGTTGTTTTGTGGCTTTTTTGTTTGTTTGTTTGTTTGTAGTGCTTAACACAGAAGGATTCTCCCAACACTCCACTATTCAGTGGTGCAGCTTTATTTTTATGCCTTTTGCCCCAAATACTCAGTCCATGCTTTTCTCTACAGATTTTTTTTTTCTTTGACATAAGGATTTTCTGCTTAAAAATGGAAGCATAGATTGGCTTCAAATTCCCTGGCAAAGCTTCTCATATGGGATACAGATTGTGTCAGCTTATCTGGCTCAAGCCTGTCTGCATGTAAACTTGTTTTCTTTGGAACTTCAGTGGTGCTCTGTGCCTCATTGTTCACATTCTTACAGCTGGGGCTGTGGCAAGGGAAAAATCAGCTTTTTGTTTCTCTCCTGCTCCACTGGGTAGATCATTGCTGATGTGTAGATGGAAATATTATTTTTTTTTCCTTATGTGTTCGTGGGGAGTGGAATCTGTCAGAGGAGCAGCAGAACACCAGTGGCCATTCAGTGGTGCTGAGCAGGGCTGCTATTGCTGAGAGACAGCAGCAACTCAGATCTAACAGCTCCACGTCACAGCTTTTGAGTGCAGAGCTCCCTTGTTCAGCAGTGATTTATTGTTTACTCTTTTTATTCTGCTGCTTTTTCAGATGAATGTCCTGTGAGAGCAGTTTGTGTTGTGTTGCTGCTGCAACACCTGCAATGCGAAATACAGAGTGATGCCAGGGGATGGTTTGGGTTTGGGAAGATTATTAAAGATATCCAGTCCCACCCCTCTTGGAACCCTGGATACTGAGAATTTTTGACTTTCTGTTCTGACAGGCACTGACCCCCAAGAGAACACTGCATTTGACCTAAAGCCATAAAGAAGACTTCCAAAATTGAATGATAAAACTGAGATTATAAGTGTATAGTTTGAATAGAAATGTGTAATATCACATAGAAGAAAACATAAAGATTTTAGATATATAATGCAAGATGAAAGTTTTAGGACTGAGACTAATCCTTCTTCTTAATAGGTTTAGGTGGTATTGTGTAATTAGATAAAATTCCACATTACAAGCCACAGGTAGTTAGTTGTTAGGTTAACAGTAAAAGTAATCTAAATGTCATTTCTTAATTAGACAGTTTATCCTTAAACACTTGTAGAGAAAGAGATAAGACTCTATTTTTAGTTTGTTAGAGTGAAGTGCTGTAGAACTCATAGTCTGTGAGACTGTAATATAGATAAGAATTAATAAACATCTAAGTCCAAACAAAAAATACCACCTCTGGAATTTAATCCCAACCCTGCACCCATCCCTATTCCCACACCGATCCTCATCTCTGCACCCTGTCCCCATTCCCATTCTCATCCCCAACCCCATCCTCATTCCCGATAGGGAAGATGTGTGCTTATGTCTCTACAAACAATTCCAGGGTGAGGGGATGGCTGTTAACGGCTTTGATATGGGGTTTAATGACTGTACCAACTTCAACCGCGGGTTTGTTACAGAGCCCGGGCAGTTTGACTCCCGAACCAGCCAAATGGGGCCGCACAACCCTGAGTTTCTAAACTTTGGGGTAAAATGACAGGTTGGAGGGGGGATATGTGGCAGGCGGTTCTGGAAGGCGGCANGATTGATTGATGAATAAACGGAGTCGATGCTGATCAACAAGGATAGGTCTTCTCCCTCCATCTTCAATAGGAGGGGGTTTACATTGTCCATTTCAGGGGAGGCTCCTGCCTTCCTTAGCAGACTCCTGTCTGTTCAAACTGAGAGAGATTTCTGATGTGGATTGGCAATATTGCTGCAGAGCACCATGAGGGGAGTCCTCTCTTTCAGCCTGGGTGGGGAAAACTCCATGGTAGATCTTTCCAGGGCAAAGCTTTATTACATTTTATTACATTTATTACATTCCCACAACTCCCCTGTTTTTTCCTACTATGAAAACTTCCCCAGTGAATTTTTGCAGACACTTAACAGGGTAACTTGAGTAAAACGGTAAAAACAATGATTACAACCCAAAAATCTGTTTGGTAAAAGATGGAACCCATCTTATCTGAAAAGTTCATTGATGTAACCTGAATTTTTCTCAGCTTTAAGTCCTTTACTTGCTCCTTCAGCTTCTGGATGTGGATAAATGTTGAGTGTGAAGAAAGGTTGAAGCAGAGCATCTTTTCAAAGTCCTGGCAGTTATGTCCATGGGCAAGCAGTGAAAAGTCTGTTGCTGCTTGATTTTATAATATTGCATGCTCTGGTGTTATTGACATTACTTAACATCTCATTCAGTGCTTAGGATGTAGCATTAGTTTGCTTACTTAGCTAGCACTTTTAATTTTCATACAATTTTTTAAGTTTTTGCAGCAGCAAAAACTTAAAGTTTTTAAGTTTTGCAGCAGGGGACAATACTGAGGCTGCTATTTTCTTTTTTCTACCTCAAAAGTTAATTTTGTTTTGGCAGTCAGATTTAAATTGATGGAAAAATCAGTTGTGCTTAATTTTTTGGTCAGGAATTATGGCCCACAGCACATGGCAGAAAAACACATGGAGGTTCCTTGTGTACCAAGAAATGTTTATTTACATTGTGTGTGTGAAACCAAAAAAGGCTTTTTCCATCATAGTAAACAACATATGGGCTTTACATTGCAGCAGGTATGCAGCAGAGATTTGGAGGCTGCTGTGGAGTCTTTTCCCAGCCTTACAGCTTCCTCTCTGGATGGAAAATATGGGCTTGATATTCTCCATGTGATATTTTCTCTTCAAACCCTTGTTTGTTCAAATTTCTAAAGAAGCTCCACTGATTCATTCATTGCTTGTTGCAAACTCATAATGAAAGATCTGTAATTACAATCTGAATGAGTTTCTTCAGCCTTGAGGGAAAAGAAGATGAGAAAAATATGAGCTGAGGGTAACCTCTTGTTCCCACATTGTTTGGCTTGAGGTGTTCTCCACTCTTTGCTTTTTCCTTTTACCTTGCTTTTTAAAATTGAATTCATTTGACTAAAATTCTGAAAGAGGCTTTGTATATCTGTATAAATAACAGAGAGGCTCTTTTTATAACAACACCTGATGTTTTACCTGCTTTTGAAGCACCAACCTCTAATTCTTTATTATAAAAATGGTTCGTCTTGGTTGTGTTTCAGTTGCACAGTCAAGGTCCTGCCTACCTCCTCCACAAATGAAATTAGAGAATTATTTAGGTTGGAGGAAACCTTTCAGATCATTGAGTCCTACCAGAAACCAAACCCTGCCAAGTCCACCACTAAACCATTCCCTATTTTAATCCTATTAGCATGGTGCTTTAAATGCAGCTGGAGTGCCATGAGCTTGTATTTCCTTTTTTTGTTGTTGTTGTTCTTGGCTTATGAAGCACTAATAAAATTAAGTTCCAGTTGCTCAATCTTATATTTGTGATAGATGAGCTGGAATCTAATTTGACATAGGTATTTTAAATTAGAATATGGAAGGGCACTGGCCAGGAGGAATTAAAAATAGAATGGAAAGCACTTTATTTGCCAGTCAGATTTGTGAGTGCTCCTCAGAGCTGTGCTTGAAGGTTAAATCTTTTCATGTTATGACAGGGCTTAGAAATTCTTTGCACTTTTTCTTTAAATTTTGAGCAGCTTCAGTGCCAGTAAATATTTGTGATCTAGTCTGTGTCCACAGATCAGAAATATATTTTCACTTCCCTCTTATTCCTAATTGCTTTCCTTTACTTTCCATCTGGCTTTTTATTTCTGGCTGTTCTCTCTGGTCTAACCCAAATACTCTCACAGATTGTTCTGCCTTTATTTTAAGGCTCATGTTTATGATCATCTGTTTGCCTCCACTGGAGTCAGCTTTCCTGGCTTGTGTCTCTCTCCTCTCATCATCCCCTCCCAGCTGAATCCCACTTTGCTGCTCTAAGTTTAGCTGTGTGCATAGTGTTTGTTCCATATTAATGTTATTTATACCAGGGCTCTGCTCTACAAGAGCCTGTTTGAAATGCTGTGGCTGCAGGAGAGCAGGATTGAATTGTGACTGCACTCCCTGGTGCAGATTGATTGATCCAGGGATGATCCAGACATCCCTTCCTCACATGGCTGGAGCTGCTGCTGGCCTCTTTGGAGCTGCCTGAGCTCATCCTCTGCCTCTTCAGTTTGCTGTGAAAAAGGCCAGAAAAGTCAGGGCAGCTTTCTCCTTGTTAGTATTCTTGAGAACAAGAGATTTTTTTTTCCCTTTTTACTTCCATTCTTTCTGCTGTTCTTTCTTTTTGTTAACTAAACACAGCCCAACTGTGGCTACAAAAACCGTTCCCTTGCACCCTTGATCAGCACCCCCAGAGCCCTGGCTGCTGCTCAGAGCCTCTCNTTTTAATATTTGCAAAAAGACAATATTATAATTGTATCTATAACACATATCAGTATTTCACTATGTCTAAGCTTAATTAACAGCAGAAATACAAACTATATAACAAAGTTATTTATCAGCTATTTCACTACTATGTCTGAACTTAATTAACAGCAGAAATAAAAACTATATAACAAAGATACTTTAGCACTACACATAAGAAATCTGTTTTAATATTTGCAAAAAGCCAATATTGTAATATGCATCTATAACACATATTAGCTATTTCACTACTATGTCTAAGCTTAATTAACAGCAGAAATAAAAACTGTATAACAAAGTTACCCTAACAATACACATATGAAATCTAGTTTAATATTTGCGAAAAGCCAATATTACAACATTTATCTATAACAGTAGAAATGCTGCAACCTCTGTCAAAGCACCTCCTTTAGAAGCTGCTCTGAGTAAGGCCATGGGAGCCATTTCAGTTCCATGAACACACACAAACACCACAGGTAGCTCAGGAGAAGAAGGACAGGAAGGGTCTTTGTGTGATGTATTCCAGCCAAGGTTTATTGCATCCACCATGATCCAAATGGATCAGGGACAGAGGCAAAACCATGTGCTGTGCACAGGCTTAACTATGGGGTCAGTGCCTTGAGGGACAGGGATGGTGCAAAGAGCAGCAAACTGTAGGAGGGGTGAGGGATGAACAATTGGGGTGGGCAGGGTTAACTGGCCAATGGGGGAATTTAAATAAAATTATAATAATTCAGAGGGAGGGTGTTGGAGATTTTTTCAGAAATGGCTTGGAAGGCAGNCATAGTATATATTTGTATTTAGTTATATATTTTATATACATACACAATATATATTTTAGTTATATATTTTGTATGCATTCACAATATTTATATATTTAGTTATTTATTTTATATACATACACAGTACTTATGCACATTTAGTTATATATTTAATACACATACACAATATTTATACACATTTAATTATATATTTTATACACATGCACAATATTTATACACAGTTATATATTTTACACAAATACACAATATTTATACATATTTACTTATATAATTTATATACATACACAGTATATAGATGTATGTATTTAGTTATATATTTTATATATACACACAATACTTATGTACATTTAGTTATATATTTATAGATACCCACACAATATTTATACACATTTAGTTATATATATTGTGTATTTCTTATTTACATATATTTTGCTCATGTTAATTTTCATTTTGGGTAGCAAAAATGTGCAGTGCTTGTTACTCTTAGCAGTTGGAGAATCATGGATTTCTACAAATCCCTTTAAGAAGGCATCCAAGTACCTTGGAATGATTTGGTTTAGGAGAAGAAATTTGTTAAAGAAATTACAGAGAAAGAAATGAAGAAAATTCTTGAAACTCATTTAAGAAAGTGAATTTTACCTGGTTGGTAGTGTTCAAAAACACAAAATCACAGGGATTATATGTGTTGTTTTTATTAAGAGCTCTGGGAATTGGGGTATATTCAACCCAAATCTGACTCCGACCATACATCCAAAATGATCATTACATCACTTTCATGTTAATTATTAAACTTATATTGTTCTATTGTATACATTAATTCAGCCCCTCTCTGAATTTCCAACATAGTTTCTCACTATTCTTCTTATGATTATATAATAATTACATTTAATTACTAAACAATCATCACATCTAACAATTATATAATTTATCATACTGCTTACGCAGGTGCAGTTGATCTGGGAAAGCACAAAGCCCAACATTTTAGATTCTATCTTTAACTTTCTCCAGGGCTCCACTATCATGGTGATTGCATTTCTGGTGAGCAAATGGAAGAAAACTTTAAGTGAAGCTAAAACTAAGCATCCCTTTTTGGGGGAGTTAAAAAATAAACGCATTTACAGCAGAGATTTTCATCTCAATTCCTTTTCACTCTGAGCCAACTCGTGCCCTTTGATGGCAGCAAGAGCTGCAGCTCAGGCTGGCTCTGCAGTGAGAGCAGGGACATTGGATCCGTGGCAAAAAGGCCATAAATTATGGACAACTTGGAAAAAGTGATTTTAGGCAGGCATGGTGTTGATCCCGGCTGGGAGCAGCTGGAATTTGGGGAAGCTCCCCAGTGGGACTGGGCTGGCAGAGCCAAGCAAAGCTGTCAATCCACAGTGCAGCAAATAAATTAAAATGAGGTGAAATAGAAACGGTGTAGTTGGGGTAAAATATGGGAATGGGAGGAAGGAGACAAATTGTTCAGTTTCAAAATTTGGGTGTTAAAGTGATTTCCTGCTGACAAACGGCTGGGCTGCAAGGGAGGATGTCCCTGAGAAATCTCCTGGAAAATTTGAACCATCTACAGGTGGAAACTTTCACATAAATGTGGATTCACTGTTAGAGGAGCTCCTTTTAGAGTAGAATTTTCATTGTGCTGTAGCAGGAAGTGTTTGAAAATCTTGGGTTGTGCAAATTAGCAAATATTTCTTGCTGTTAATATGATGTTGCCATCAAGGGAAGGAAGGAATCCATCTGCTTCCTGGGAACAAACTTCCTTGCTTTTTTTTTTTTTTTTTTCTGCATTTTCTTTCAAAATTGGTTTTCTGACCACCTTGGTTTTTATTCAGGTGATTTAAAGCCAGCCTGGGGAAAGAATGTGCTGGATTTGTACTGATGTACCAATTTAACAAAGTCTGGGTTGTGCTCTTCACTGTGCCCAGGCATCCTGGATGAGTTAAGAATAAATAATTGTGTAAGGAAAAATAGATCTGCAGGAATTGCAGGACTTTGACAACAACAAAAATCCTTTTATTTTTCAGTCTGCTCTCAGCTCAGTCTGTACATTTTGTTCTGACAGAAAGCACAGCTTCATCCTTACCTTTTTACATTCATTTCACCTTTTAATGTTGATGTGATCTTTTTTATTTTTTTAATTTCTATTTCAGTTTCCTTTCTTCTGGGGATATTGCCTGCATGGCAATCTGTTCCAGCAGCTACTCCACCATCATGGCCTTCTGCTTCCTGGAAGAGCTTCGCTGGGAATTTGCTGCTTCCTACAACACAAGGAGCATCAATTCAGCTTCCAGACCATATGCTTTCATTGAATTTGGTTTGTAACTTTGTTCTCTGATAGTAAAAATCCTCCTTCTGCCAAATTGGTGATGTTGAACAACATCTCCTGGCTAAAGGCTGATGATGAAAGTGAACTCTGGGTGTGCCTTTGCCTGCATGTGGAGAAGGAGGGGGAAATCTTATATATATTGAAGGGTTTGGTTTGGAGTTCCTGAGAGTTCATCTCTTACGAACAAAATGCTGTGCTGATTGATGAACAAGAAGAGGAGAAAAAAGAAATTCATACCTTGGACACTTTCAAACTTAATTAAAAAAATCTGACAAGTGAGGACAGATGAGTACAGGAAAAAAGGGAGACAGAATAGATTATTATGGGCAGCTTTATTTCTGGCATGACTTGGAGTCAGAATACTTCAGAACCATGCCCAGAGGTTCTTTTTTAGCCTGAAATAATTGGTTTTCTTGCCAAGTAGCAGCTGCTCTACTGAACCTCACACCTTTGAAAGACACAATTCCCTTGCAGTGAGAGAGTTTTCTGGGAAAGGATAATATCCTGCAGTGTGTTTGCACTCTTCAGTCCAGATTTCAGTAACAGTGTTAAACTCAGGCTTAAAAACTTGAGAAATCCATCAGGAAAGCTTCTTTTAGAGCCATCTTGTATTTTGGGTGGATTCCCTGCAGGGCACATTACAGCCAGGATGTAATTTCATATTGACATCCACATTACTCTTTTTTTTTTTTTAACTTGAGTAGGAGTTGGGGGAATTTCTAGCCTCTTTTAATTTAATCTAGCCTCTTTAATAAGGCTAATGATTTCAGTGCAAATTTGTGGATAATAAAGACACTAATAACCCAACCTCTTTAATCTTTTAATCTAGGCTTTTAATAAGCATAAAGCTTATTTTTCAAAGAAAAAAATACATTTCTAAAAGAATTTTTACTCTTATAATTTATCACATTACCAAGTGCCTAATATTGCTCTGTGTTTGTTTGTTTGTTTATTTATTTAATGATCTCCATTCCTGTGTTAAATCTAAGATGGGCTTGATGCTCAAGATTTTAATATTTTGTTTGGCAGTTACAGATAATTTTTATTATTTTTTAGAGTAGATATTAGAAGAAATTTTTTCCTGTGAGGGTGGGGAGGCACAGATTCTCAGAGAAGCTGTGGCTGCCCCTGGATCCCTGGAAGTGTCCAAGGCCAGGTTGGATGGGGCTTGGGATAGTGGAAGGTGCCCCTGCCATGGCAGGGGATGGAACTGGGTGATTTGAAGGTCCCCTCCATCTTTCTGTGCTATAAAATATCTAAAAGAAGTATTTTTGTTCCCTAACCAGCAATGGAATTTTTTGAAATGAAATGAAGAAATTCAAACAATCAAAACGATACGATAAAATATCACCACAACTGAGGTTTTAACACCACTAAAGATTAATTAAGCAGCCTTTCAGAGTTGACTTGAGCAGCTTTTCCTGTTGTTTCAGACAACACCATTCAGAAGGTGAAACAGCATTTCAACAGCAGCCGTGGCTCCAGGGCCAAGGGCAGCTGGCAGAGGGTGGAGGAGGAGCTGAGGCTGCAGCCCCCGGTGCAGCTGCAGCTGGAGAACACGGAGCTGCTGAACGGGCTGAGCAATGGAGGGCACGCAGGAGGCCATGTGGAGGTTGGTAAGTTACTTCTCCACCAGGTGACAGGATGTTTCCTCACCCTCACATTGTTGCCAGGTGGTGGATGTGAAAAACACGTTCATTCTTTGTTCTGGTTTGAAAGCAAAAGCAGTGAGAGACTCCAAGTCAGAAATAGTTTATTAGGAAAAGGAAAAAAAAACCCACCTCAAAATACATGCAGTAATACAAAAGAAAAACCACTGGCAGAGTCAGAATACAAACTGACACTCTGTTGGTTGGGGTGTCTGTAGCAGTTCCATTGGAATTGTGGCTCAGCCCTCCTGCAGTGTCAGGGGTGGTTCTGCTGGAGCAGGGATCCTGTAGAGAAGGATGGATTCTTCCTCTGAAGATCCAGTGCAAGAGGCAGCTGCTGTTCCTCTGGGGAATCCAGTGGAAAGGCTGCTCTGGTGTCCCAAAACGTGAGATTATATCCAGGTAGGAATGCTTGGCTCCTCCCTCTGGGCAGAGCATCCCACAATGGGATGCTGGAATTTTATCAGTCATGCAGTCACACTCAGTAGCCCATTACCAGCAGCTATGTCCCCAGAGGGAGGATTGGTTTGTGGAAGAGATCAAGAATAAAGAAAACTGCCCAGTTAACAGAAAATAACTGCCACACCTCTAACAGATGGCAATAGAATACATATTGCCTTGCAATCTAGGACACTCCTCTGTGAAAATGTGAAAAGTTTAATAAAGGACAGTAGGAGACAAGGACAATAGAGCAAGGGTTCTCATGGCTGGGTGCATCTTGGCACTGAGCCAAGAGCACACTGTTACCTTCAGGGATGCTCCTTAAATGCCTTTTCATTACATCAGCCTGTGCGTATTCACAGACCCTTGTGCATAGTAAGCTTTTCCCCAAACTAGTTTACATATTCCAAGAGTTGTTTAGCATGGCACCTCCTTGGGTCTGCCTTTTCAGAGCATGCACATTCCTTGGTTGTGGTTTTGGTCCTTTTTTATCACCTCCAGTTTTGGGGTTTGGCCCACACTGCCTTCAGGGGGTGAGTGCTGATGGTTGGCAGATGTGTCCAGGTGTGCTCATCCTGTGTGCATGGGGTGTTATCCCATCCCAGCAGGCATTGTAACACAAGCATGCTGATATCAGCTATTTCACTGAGCTTAATTAACAGCAGAAATAAAAGCTATATAACAAAGTTACTTTAACATGACACATAAAATCTAGTTTAATATTTGCAAAAAGCCAACATTATAATATGGATCTATATATAACACATATCAGCTATCTCACTACTATATCTAAACTTACTTAACAAGAGAAATAAAAACTATATCTTTATAACAAAGTTCCTTTAGCACCACACATATAAAATCCATTTTAATATTTGCAAAAAGCCAGTATTACAGTATGTATCTATAACACATATCAGCTATTCCACTACTATGTCTAAGCTTAATTAACAGCAGAAATAAAAACTATGTAACAAAGTTACTTTAGCACTACACATAAGAAATCTGTTTTAATATTTGAAAAAAGCCAGTATTATTGTATTTATCTATAACACATATCAGCTATTTCACTGCTATGTCNTGTGTTGGGATATAGGATATAAGATTTGGGGGTTCCTTGGGGTGTTTGAGGGGTAGAGGAGGAGGGTTGGGGATGGTTTGGGATGAGCAGGGATAACGTGAGCCTTTGGGGATGGGGGTAAGGTTTTGGGGTGTCTGCGTGCTGAAGGGATGTGTGGAAGGCCTTGTCAGCACAAAGCAGAGCCCTGAGTGGGGGCATGGGTGTGTTTGCTTTCAAAGTGCTTGGGTTTGTTGAAGAGTGTGGGAAGAGGGTTCTTTGAGGGATATTAGGATGTTTAATGCAGGGGAGGAGAGGTGGGAGTGAGGGGTAGTTCTGTGTAATGTGAGTAGAACAGGATGGATGTAGGATGGGTCCTTAGGTGGGATCGTCAGGGGACAGGGATGAGCTGCTGCGTTTGGGGAAGCATCAGGATTGAAGCATATGGGGTGGGTGAATATTTGGGACCAGGTGAATTTGGTGTCTCTGAGAGGTGAAGGTGGGGCAGAGCCTCAGAGCATCACAGAGTTGTTGCAGTGTGGTTTGGAGCATTGTCTGTTGGAGCAGTGGGATTGATGTGGGAGCTGGATGCTGGGGTTGGAGGTTTGTATGTGCTTTTTTTCTGGTAATCCACAGGAGTGTGTGCAGACAGATTTGTGATGGTAAGGGTTTTTTCCACATGCTTCCCCTTGGGGATAAGAGTAAGCCTGTAGGATTTATAGGAGCCTAAAAGCTCTGGATATGCACAAATCCTGTGTTAAACTTTGAGATAGTAATGTGTTTTCAAATTGCTTTTATTCACTGCTCAGTCTGGAAGGTGAGTCTGGGGTGTCTGTAGCTGCTCAGCGCTCCTGGGGGCTTGGAGGCAGCTCACTGGCAAGGATCAGGTGGATACTGGTGCAATCTTAGAAAATGAGAAATTTAACACTTGTCTGGATTTGTTGTTTTATATATCTGAGAAGAAGATAAACTCCACTTTGTGATCCCTCAGGGGGGTGATAAATCTCCCTCATGAACCACATCCTTGTTGGGTGAGACCCAAAGCAGCACTGGAGCTGCAGCTCAGGTTTTGTGTTTGATGAGTCAACCTGAATCTGTTTGATGTTCATCCCACCTGCAGCTGTCCAGGGCTCCTTCTGGAGATCACCTGCCTGAGCAAGGATGCTTTAGGGCAATAGTTTTGTTCAGATATCAAGCTGTCATATGTCCAAAAAAATTCACATTCTCCTTCAGGGCCATGGGAACATCCACTAAAGCTTTTGGCTCTTCCTTCAGCAGGAAGGAGAGAACTGGACAAAGCAGATGGGCTTGAAGCTGGACACCTCTAGAGAGCAGGGAAATGTGTCTGAGCAGGGAGAGACAGTGAATACTTGAGAGAAATCACATCTTTTGGGAGCAGTGTGCCATTCTTGGAAGGAAACCTGCTTTTGCTGGTGAGATAATTTGTGAAAGAACCAGGTTTTGGATACAATCTCCCTTATGAACTCAGCACTGCTTTGCATTTGCTCTCACAGCTTTTTGAGCAGATTGTTTTCTAAGTCCAGGCAATTAGGCAGGAGTTTGTTGAGCATTTGGGGAAGCGTGGCCTGGTGGGTTGGGTGTAATCTTCTTACCCAGAGGAGCTTGTGTAACACACAGTGAAGTGCAGGAGGTCTGATTGAGGCTGCCTTGATAATCCCTGCTCAGCCAGGGGAGAGTTGGCTGCTCCCTGGGAAATGAGGGAAGGGGGAATTGTGCTCCAGGTCACTTAGATACACTGAGGAATGGTTTATTCTGAGATTGGGGCTGTTAATGTGAGTCTTGCACTGGGCACTTTTACTCTGAAGCATTGTTGGGTGTACAGGTGCTTCAAGAAATGAAAAAAAAAAACAAAACAACTTTGTTTCCTTCACTCCTAAATTATAACCAGTTCTGAAATAATTGCTTGAAATCCTTCCCAAGGTTCTGCTCTGTGCCAGATGCTGCCATGATGTTATCACCTGTGAACTCTGCCAGATTTGAATGCAGAGCCTCGAGTTCATTGTCCAAGGTCAGAGCCAAGGGCAAAGAGCTGCCACGTCCTGGCGGTGACAGATCTTTGGGCTGCTGATGGGGAGCAAACAGAGAGTCTGCAGGAGGAAAGGGCAGCCAGGGTGACACAGGGACAGCTCTGAGCCACCTGTCTGTGGGCACACCTTGCTCAGCTGTGACACTTTGTGCTTGGGCACAGGTGACGTGGCAGAACTGGCTTGTAAGTCGTTAAAATTCCAAGGGCAGTGCCAGTGGTGGCTGTCACTTGGCAAAGCCACAGAGCTCTGCCCATCCTCTGGGGGAGAGCAGCAAGAGCTGTGCCAAAGGGACACCCAGCACCTCTTTTTCTGGGGAAGGAGAGTGCATTCCTTTCTCCAGTGAAGTCTGGCATTTCATTTGGAAGTTTTCTTGGATTTTTCCTTCCCAGAGCAAAGGATCCCTCTGATGGGCAGCTGGCAGCATTAGGCCCTTCATCAAGAAGGTTTGTACATCTTGGAAAGTTGGAAAGCTCTCTATGTGCAGTTGGTTAACTGTAGGTGATGTTATTCTTGGTGATTAATAAAAAATACAGATATTTAAATTTCAACTCTTGCTGTTAGTGGCATAGGGAGCTGAATAATTTCATGGGCTGAGTAGGTTTTAGAAAATGTCTTTGATTTCTCAGTTTGGTGCTTTTTCATTGTCCTGATCATCTTTTGGTTGTTTGGGAGTTATTTTGGAGCTAAACTTCATCAGCATTACCAACCCTTCACTCTAAAACTTCTGAGCAATTCTGAGCAACAAGTTGGCTGTGTTGAAGTTAATATTGCTGTTAAAGTTCATATTTTTTGGGTTTATTTCACTTTGATCTGAAAATTTTCTGCACTGTTTTATCAATGCTTATTGGCACACTGAAGATTGATGGGATCTTTCAAACTGATTTACAACAATCATGATTATTGTTGAAATCCTTTCTGATATGTGTTGGATTTTGTGAGCTTAGTTTGCTGTCACAACTGAAATGACAGCTGGAAAAGAACTGTCAGAGGGATTGTGGAAAAAAAAATCACATCTAATTCTTTAATCTCTGTTTACAAAGTTCAAGATAACGCTTCTCAAGAGATGTCTGATCTTCTGTAGTTTTAAAATGCTTTTCTAAGGAAACAAGTTTTGTGCCATTGTGCTTTCTGCTAATTCCTCTGATAATTACCCTCTGATAATTGCAGTTGCTTTAATGTGCTGGCACCTTGGACAGAGGGATGATTCCCACAATTTCTGTGGGATTGATTCCTGTGGGGGAGAAATGAGACCCTGTCAGTGCTGCCTGTGGCAGGAGCTCAGCCCTTATCAGACATCAGGAGAGTTTGTGGTGCCTGAATTAGAGAGGGTTTTGCTCTCTGGACTTCTCAGACAAGAAAAGCTCATCCTGAAGAGCCACATTTCAAAGACACTTTGAGCACCCTAATGAATTGTGTGATACAGGCCTGGTCAAAGCAGTTGTTTTCTCTATCAAAAGTTTGACTTCACAAAGTGGTTTTTCCCTTTCTTTTATTTCCCCATTGCTTTATTTGTGTAGTTTGCCTGAAGCCAAGTAAATGCCTTTGGTTTTCCTTTTTTGCCTTTTTTTAATTGCTTGAGTTGTTTGTGATAATCCCTTAAAATCTGCTGATTTAGAGCTGCTCTTTTACTGATATAACCTAAAAAAACCATGATTGGGGCATCATAAATATTTTGCATGTCATTCCACACCATCTTTGACTGAGTCTAGAAATGAATATGTTAGATAAGAAAATGAGTTGTTTGTTTTCCTTCAGGCAAAACACTTCCTCTAGGATATGTTTTCCCACTGCACAGGAGATCTGATGGTAAAAATGCATGTAAATACAGGTAATTAATGAAGTTTTTAAACTAATTGTTAATTAGTTCGTTCTGATTCCCTTTCAGGGATGATATGAAGTGCTGTTAAATCCTCTGACACCGTGCCCTGGATCCTCATGGTATGTCTGAAGGACACATCTCTGCATGTTCTGAATTTGCCAGGTGAAGCCCAAGAATAACTTTCCACAGGAGTTTGTGGCCTCTTAAAGAGGAAGAAGTCAAGAGAGGGCAACTTTTATTCTATATTTAGCCCTAGGTGAGTTTAAAAAGAACCTGATGGGCTCTAGCCTAAAATTTATTTTTGGATTTGTGTGTTACACTAGAAAATAGAGAAGTGCCATGCTCAGGCAGGTTTTTGGATGCAGCACATCAGTGGGATGTGGGATCAGCACAGCAGCTTCCACAAACTCCTGTGAGAGCTTTCCTCAGCCTTTCTGAGGCTTTGGGCAAAGCAGGAGGGAAAACAGGAATATTTTTCAGGTAGATAATTGCTCTATCAAATCCTCTGCCTCATCTTTTAATCTGAGAGGCAAGAATTGGGCACAGCCATGAGTTTTGAGAACAGTTTGGTTGCCTTGCAGTGGTAGAGGTGCTGTTCAGTTCCAGTGCTGAATTCACTCTGATCCTGCCTGGAATTTCAGAAAGAACTGACTCAAAACCTTTCCTTTCCAGGTTGTCCTCATGAATACTCCCGTGGAGAATGTCCATGATCTTCTTTGCCTGCGTGGTGAGGGTGAGGGATGGGCTTCCCCTCTCAGCCTCCACAGATTTCCATCTCAACCAGGACTTTCTGGAGTGCAGGAAGAGGCTGAAGGCTCTGTCCTCCATCCTGGCGCGGTACCCCAGTCGGGGCACGGCCAGAGGACGTAACCTCAGCATCCAGTGAGTCCCTGCTCTGCTCTGATGGGGCTTTTTTGCTTTAATTTTTGAAATATTGCTCTTGGGGGGCAGAATTGTATTGAAATAATGCTGTGGGTGTGGTGTGCAGTGGCTGATTCCAGCCTGAAGTGCCACACTGCTTGTGTAGGGTGTGAATTCCAGTGATTTTGAAGCTTATTCCTCATTTCCTGCTCAGTGTAGTGAGCATGTGCTTACTTATGTATCTGTATATATTTATTTATATTTTTATGTTCATATATTGTATTTTGGATGTTCATTTATATAAACACACTTCCATAAGTCTTATTTATTTTATACTATATTATATTTACATAGATTTCATTGTGCACTTACATTTATACATATAAATACACATGCATTTATGCATATTTACATATACATACACAAACAATGTTTATTAATATTTAGTTATATATTTATAGATAACTACACAAGATTTATATATATTTAGTCATATATTTTATATACATACACAGTATATATGTAGTAATATATTTTATATACATGCACATTTAGTTATATATTTATATATTCACAATATTTATACATATTTAGTCATATATTTTATATACATACACACACAATAGATATATTTATTTAGTTATGTATTTTATATACATACACAATATTTATACACATTTAGTTATATATTTTGTATACATACACAGTACTTATGCACAGTTATATATTTATAGATACCTACACAATATTTATACAGTTATATATTTATAGATACCTACACAATATTTACACACATTGAGTTATATATTTTATGGACATACACAGTACTTATGCAGTTATATATTTATAGATACCTACACAATATTTATGCACATTTAGTTATATATTTATAGATATAATCACAATATTTGTACACATCTATATATTCACAATATTTGTACACATCTGTATATTTTATATACATACGCAATATATATTTTTAGTTATATATTTTGTATACATTCACAATATTTATATATGTTTAGTTATATATTTCATATACATACACAATATTTATATGTATTTAGTTATATATTTTATATGAATACACAATANCTGTGGGCAGGGGGGGTTTGCACATCACAGCTGCCTCTGGGAAGCAGCAGAACAATTTGTGCCACTGTTTTGTGAGGCAGCTGGTGAATCCTGCAGCCCCCCTTGGTGAGTGTTCTTCATCTTCCACAGGCACACAGGGAGTCCTGCAGAGGCCTTTTCAGGGCTGCCTTTGAAGCTCTGTCTCACTCTCTGCCTTTTGTGTGCTTGTGTTTCAGTTGAGGCTGTTGGAGTGATTTCATTTCTCACTCCTGGTGCTGTTTCTGCAGAGCTCTGAGCGAGTGACTCAGTGTCCAGCCTTGTGCTGTGCCTGCAGGAGGCAGATCCAAGCTGCTGCTGCGCACTCTGGTGTCTCCCTCCTGTGAAATGGCCACAGGCCTCTGCCAGAAATCTTTCATGGGCAGAGGTTTCAATTTCTTCACTGGGTGAGGGTGTTTGCAGTTATTCTGCCATGTTCAAACAGAACATTTCTGTGTGGGTCTTCAGAGCACAACTTCTGTGCTTGAGGAGAATGTGCAGATCAATGTGAAGCCTAATCAGTGTTTATTTGTGCTTGTGCAGAGTGGTGCTGTCCTGAACTAAGTGTTTGTACTCTTCCCTTATTTAATGTAATAGGCCATTCCAGTGTGAAATTCTCTTTATAAAAATATGACTGACTTCCCCCAAGGAAGTGAAATAATTTTCCCTTAGCAGGACCCATCTCACTTCTCTGTGCAATTTCAGTTTGTGAGTTAAACCTCAGAATTTAACAGCACAAATAAATCTCTGCAGCAAACCATTTCAAGCCCAGTTTTCACAAAATCTGAACCCTGAGCAACTGCATGTTTTAATCTCCCCTGCATCTGTGACAGCAATTCTTTATTATCCTCCTGGACTAAAAAAAAAATGTAACTTTTACATAATATTTCATGCTGCTGAAGCAGTATATTGAGACCTACATTGTTCTTCCCTAGGGACTGGGAACTCTTGGCATGTGTGGCTTGCAGGATTCTGCTCAATGAATGACATTTGTGTTAAATAATTATTTGTTTGGGAGATATTTTGTGCCTCTGAAGTAAACCTTAAAATTTGAGGAACAGTCTTTATTAGGAAATATCTGTGGGAGAGTTACACATATACATAGCTGCAACATTAATTAATCAAAAGCAGGAATAGCAGGAAAAAAATAGGAGACTAAATTCTGGGGTCAGGGAATGAATAAAGATGCTGCTACAAGTTCCTTGTAAATGTCACTGTGTAGCAAATGAAAAGAAAAATTGCCTTTGAGTGACAGAGTTACAGCATTCTGTCTGTACCACCCAATAATGCTCCCTAAAGTGACACACATCAAATTGAGTTGATCCAATTCCTTTGGAGCTGAAATTCTGGGTGTGTGAGTGCATGCCAGACAAATTAATTACAGAGACACAGATGAAAGGTGCTTTACATCCCTCTGTTAATTTGGCACCAGAGTTTTTTACATCCATCCAGCAGAATCTGGCTTGAAGGAGAAGGCAGGAGTGTTTTTCTCTCTGAAATCCTGTAGTGGGTGTTGTGGTGATTCATCTGTCACTCAAAGGAAGACAGAGGTGCAGTTTATCTGGAATGGTCAGATAAATAGATAAAGGGGCAGATAAACAGATAAACAGTCAGATAAAAAAGATCTGGATACACCTGGGCACAGGGAGATGTTTCCTTGAGGGCTCATTCATTCTCTCCTCTCTCTTGGGTTCAGGATATCTGGATTTGATATCTGAGCTGCAAATTTTCATTTTTTATGAAACTGGCAGTGTCCTGCTGGTGGTGATCCAAGGGCAGGGATGAAATGTAGGCGAGGATCAAGGTGTGGAATCTGTTGTTGAACAAGTGCAGGAAAACTGGAGGTGTGCTCTTGGCCAAGCCTGAATTAAAGGCAGCAGAATCCAAAGCTAAACACACATTTATGATAATTACTCTGACCTTAATTAGGGATGTATCAATGAGATTACCATGCAGAACTGCTGCTCAGCAGTGTGGGTGTTAAGTAGTGGCAGAGAAGGTGAGAAAGGAAGGACACAGATAATTCACTACCTGTGAAATGGGGGCAGCCTGAGCCCTCAGGTGGGATAAAATGTTTAATTACTGGTTAAGGAGGAGATGAATTGCTGCCTTGTTGTGATGGTGGCTGAAATCTAAGCCTTTCCCCAGACCTTTAGGTGGGGAAAACCTTTGGTTTTTCTGCTGACCTGAGGAGTGCTGAGCATCCTCACCTGCTGGAATAAACAAAGAATTATCTGTGTGCACCATAGAAGATATTGATGCCAAATAGGTCAAGAAAAATCTGGTTTTGACTTGTTTAAAAATACTCCAGAACTCTTAGATATGTGGAGAACTGAATACTGCAATGCAACAAGAAAAATGGGGATTTCTATTCATAATCAGTGTTCTCTGGAGCAAGCATGGAAGGTTTTGAAAGTGTTTAAAACCCACACAAAGTAATTGTGGTGTTTTCTAGTAAAAGATTGAAAGTAATAGTGCAAACTTTCACTGATGTTTGATTTTCATTTCATTTCCAGCCCCTACTTACAGAATGCAGCCTGTGACCCCCCTGGGGATTCTGTCACTTGTTCTGAACATCATGTGTGGAGCTCTGAACCTCATCCGAGGGGTTCACCTGGCAGAATATTCCTTCCAGGTAATCCTGATGTCCCAGCCCTGACAAGGAGTGACAGGCAGGGAATTTTTGGGTGACCAGTTCAAGGGTGGCTGTTCTGCCCCTTAGCTGAGCACAATCTCTCTACAAGAAGTGTTTTGTTTCTCCAGGACTGCTACACCTTGTGTATTTTTTCTGTACATCACAATATTCTGCATTTTATTCTGTTCTATACAAGTTTAATTTTTGATATATTTTTATTTATATTTTAAATTTTTTATTATTTATTCTTTATAATAATTAATAAAGAATATAAATTTATTTTTATTTATTTATTCTTTAGTTTATTTTTAATTATTAGAATTCTAAAAATTATGTAATTATTTATTAAAATAAATAAAAGTATTACATTATTTATCAATAATTTAATTATTAAAATAATTATGAAATAATTACTGAATTATTTATTATTTAACTCTAAAATTATTTAATATCTTAGAATAATTTGATATTTAATAATTATTTGTATAATTATTTATTATTATATATAATATATATTATACTATTATATATTATATATATTATATATATTATATTATATATATTATATAAATATAAATATAATATATAATATATATTATTTATATAATTATTTATGATATAATTATTTATATGATTATATCTTATATAATTATATAATTATTTATATAATTATTTATATAATTCAAGATTTAATTTCTTTTTAATATTTAATAATTTTAAAATAATTATTTAATAATTTTTAGAAATGTTATTTTAAAATTTATTTATTCTTACCAGGCTGCCTGGATTTTTTTTTTGCTCCATTCTTGCATTTTATTTTAGATCCTTTTCTGTAATTTTTTAAAAATAAACATGAGACTGTAAACAACTTTAAAAAAGGGGAGAAAAAGTGTGCTGATTGTATCCTGACACAGTTTTATTTAGCAGGAACTGTCACAGAAGCCTCAGTTCTTGGTGTCTTATCCATGATATTGATCTTGGTGTTTGACACTGCTACAGTCAATCAGCACAAACTGGGATGAGAGTTCTTGACTATATTTAAAATGTTCTCAAATATCAAGCAGCACTTGCTAAAAGCTGTGCCTGACGTGGTTGTCACTTCTTTTCATCCCAACAGGAGGACCATGAAGGAATTGGAAATGTGATAGCTTTTTTTCTACCTTTTCTAGCCTGTGTTTTTCAGGTATGTTAACTGCAAATAATATTTTTTTGCTGATTATTTTGCTGTTACAATTCACAAGACAGAGCCATTTTCAGCTAAGGAGAGATTTTTAATATCCTGCCCAGGTGATTGCACTGATTTATTCCAGTCAAGTGGCACAAAAGCAGTTCAGGGCACGTTTTGACCCTTGGGAAATTGAATTTTCAGGCTTTTTCAGTGCTGCCACGTTGTGACAAGTCAGAGGGGCTGGGTGTGATGGATAAATGCCATCCCAGAGATGGTTTATTCCCAAAGGGATGGACACATCTTCTGTCAGTGTCTGACTTAGTGGTGGGCTTTTGCAGCACAGCCTTGAGGACTGAGCAAATATTGGACAGCAGCATTATTGAAATGGTGTAATCTGCATGAAAAATCACATTGAATCCTGGTGGTTCCTTAATGGGATTTTTCCATCTTCCAATTTTCTATATTTTCCATTTTTTCCCATAATGGGGTTATTTCCTCTGACCTTACACAGAAGGGTTTGAATGAGGAAAATCCAACATGTTCCAAATTGGTTTTTCTTGAAAGGCTCCTGGAATTCCTAAAAACTCCCACAACCTTTAACCTGAGGGCTGTATATGCTGGAAAATCTTCAGCTTTCAGCCTGGCATTGCAGAAAGGTGCTGCAGTTTTGTTTCCAGGAATAACTGATGCCTGCACTGTATTCATTGTCCTTTTTCCTTCTGGATCATGGTTTGGGGACCACTGTCAGAATCTGATGTATTTATGGGATTATTTGTTATATTATGATACAATTTAGTGTCTTTCAGCTTTCTTACACCTTTGCTCGTGGCAGAGCTTTGGAGTGAATAGATTTATTTACATCTAATGGATTTATTTTGATCTAATAGATGGATTTAGATCTAATGGATTTATTTTGATCTA